AAGATGGCGGAGGAGGAGAGGAGGTGGCCGAGGCGACACTGTACGAGATGAAGAGAGAAAGAAGAAGGATGTTGTTCTTCTGGAGGAGCATGTCGTGGCCGTCAATTAATACAAAGAGGAATCACACGGTCGTTGCGCCGTCGTCGACCATCGTCAACGTTGTCTCCTCCTCTTAGGAATACATTCATGTTAGGCCCTCAGCCACCGCCAGCCTGCACCAAGTCGGGTCGGTTGGAGGAGGAGGAGGAGGAGGAGGAGGAGGAGGAGGAGGAGGAGGAGGAGGAGGAGGAGGGAGGAATCTGTCCAAGGCCGGTCTTTTCACCGAGAGGAGCTCCCACCTGAAGCCGGTTACTCAGGTGAGCATCTCCCACGACGGCTCGCGCGCCTTGTCGGTAGGAGGAGGAGTCTTCCAGCTCTGGCACACCTCACCCTGGAAACCAACCCATCGCATCCTCCTCCACAACGACTACGGCATCGTCGTCCTCGCCCGCTTCGCTCCCAGACTGCGGCCCGACCATCCCATGTCCTCCTTGTCCAACCGCCTCCTCGCCATAGCCTGGAGCACGCACCGCGTCAACCTCTGGGACGCAGACAACATGGACTTCGCGCTGGTCGACGTTGGGATGCACGAGCTGGACATTCGTGTCCTTCACTTCTCCGAGGACGGGGCAAACGTGGCAACTGGCAGTATGGACAACACAGCTGTGCTCTGGAACATATGGACGAGCCCGCTGAAGAAAGCAGCAGCAGGGGCAGGAGGAGCAGCGGGAGGGGAGGGGGAGGAGCAGCAAGACGGGAACCAGAGCACGTCAGGGGAAGCGAGCGTGAACAGCTCTTCTCCCAACATCTTCTCTACCATCGCAGCCTGCAACCTCCTGGGAAAGAAAATCAAGAGGATGAGAGTTCGACGCGTCCTCACAGCAACTCATGGCGGCTCCGTGCTTGCATGCGCTTGCGATCGCTCTTCCCGCTTCTTTGCCAGCGGGTCCGTCGACCACTCGGTGGCCATGTGGTCGCTGGACAGGAAGGATGCATACCCGAAGCTGTGGGAGGGTCGGCACGGAGCATACGTGCAGGACGTTCAGTTCTCCTCCGACTCGCTCCTGCTGGCGTCAGTAGGGGGAGACAGGATCTGCCGCGTGTGGGACGTAGAGACTGGTACCACCACCCACATCCTGAGAACGAGCGGAGCTCTTACCCTCGTTCGCTTTTCCCCCTGCTGCAAGAGAGTCATGGCGGGAGGGCTGAGGGGAGCGCTTCATGTGTGGAGCCTGCAGCAGGAGCAAGCATACCATCAGCCGCATCCTATCCTCGCCGACTCCCTCTGCGACATCACCGGCCTTGCATGGTCCCCAGACTCCCGATCCATCCTCGTGTCAGGAAGCAACGGCATCGTGTGGCGATGGAGCTTAGAGGAAGGGAGGATCCTCTTCAGTTGGTCCAACCCCCTCGGAACTCGTTTCTCCGCTATGGAACATACCTCTTCCTCCTCCTCCTCCTCCTTCTTCGTCGACGATCCTGGCATCTCAGCATGTGCGGTATTCTTCCCGGAACCCGCCTCCATCTCTCCTTCCCAGAGCACGAGGCCCTCCAAGACCTTGGTCCCCACCATCAGCCGTACTACGTCACGCGCCTTCGACAGCTCCAGCATCTTTCGCAGCAGCAAGCTCACCAACCTGACCGTCGACGTAGAGAAGACTGCTCCTGCCCCTCCGCACGGCTCCTGCCTCCTGGTGTGCGGAGATTTGCGAGGAAGTGTACACCTCCTCAAGAGCGAGCCGCAAGGCGTCGATCACGAGCCCATTAGCGCACATATCGTCAGACATCACTCGTCGCACTACCTCCTCTCCCAGCCCTCGCAGGAAGGAGGGGAAGTGAAGGAGGAGCCGGCGGACATGAGCATGCATGTCAGCCGAGCTCACCAACTCTTCACTGCTCTCCTCACCTCCTCCCGCCCTCCCAGTGGGCTGCAGCGAGAGATCTCAAAAAGGCATGTGCGAGACAGAGCAGAGTCAGCCCTCAGGCTCTACATGGAGGAAGCATCCTCCTCCTCCTCCTCCTCCTCCTCTGATGCCATGACGGGATGGCTCTTCCTCCTCAAGGTTCCCAACGGAGGACTCAAGTCGGTCGACTGGGAGCGCAGGCTCTTTCTGCTCTTCGACGGAGTGCTGAGGAGAGTTCAACTCGTCAGGAACCGCATCGACGTCGCTGACTTGTGCGACGTCCGGCTCCTCCTAAAGCACGAGCTTGTCAGCTTTCCCTCCTGCGGTAAAGATTTCGCCGTCCGGCTGCGGCTGCCAGCGGGAGTGATAGTCCTTGCTGCGAACACCGAGGAGGAGAGAAAGAGGTGGGTTCGAGCTATCCAGAACGCTAAGAACAACCAGCCTTGAAGCTAACTCCGCTCCCTTCTATGCTGTCCCAATCCTATCCCCCTTCTTCCTTCGCCTAATTCCAGTCTTCCTCCTCCGCTCCTCTTGTTCCTCCCTCGCTCTCTTCTCATCTCATGTTGATCGTTTATCATAAAGTTACTGGTCGAGTTCACATCTCCTTCTCCCCTCGTTGTTGCATCAAGCGCGTGCTGAGCTACTCGCACGCCAGTTTGTGGTCAAAGCTTGACAAGCAGATAGCAAACGCCTGAGGGAGGAGGAGGTGACGAGAGGAGACCGAGGAGGGAGGTAACGCACCTGCAACGCACAGAGGGGGTAGCTGTAGTCCATCGTGAAGATGTCTTCCGAGCACTTCCCGAACTGCATCTCCCAGTTAAACAGCAGCACGATAATAGCACGATCCCTGGCTTGCCTGCAAGACGACACGGTCGGGGCTGTTCTCGTCGACAAGTTGGAAGTTCTTCACAGATGCAACAGTCACTCGTCCTTGGAAGTTCAGGCAAAAGGCTCCGAGATTCTCGTTCCATCTCGGAGTCTTGTTGACCTGCATGCTAGTCAGTGCATGTCAAGGTTCTCCAACTCCTTTGGCACCAGACGGATGTAGTTGTGTTCCTTGCTGATCTTTGACGACATCTTGTCCTCCACTGACGTGGGTTGGATCTTTTCTCGTTCTCCCGACTTTGAAGTCTTGGGCAGCCAGACCTGCTCAGCGGTCAAGGTGAAACTCCAAAGATTTCCCATCATCATCATCATCATCATCATCATCATCTCCATTATCCACCTGCATCTTACGGGGACCATTGCTTCCAAGCACATTCCTGTCGTACTGAACGACCCCTAGCTCCACACGGACCTGCGAGAAACCATGTTGAGTGACGATGCCCCTTCTCGCTCCCCCCTCCTCTCCCTCGCTTCCTCCGGTTGAGTAGGACTAACCTCGGCTTCTTCTTTCTTGCGAGTCGGGTTCTTTCCGTTGTCGTAAATGGTAAATTCTGTACCAACAAAATTCGATTTCACTTTCCCCGTGTAGCTGTCGCTGTAAGGAGATCAGTGGATCCTTGATCAAGATGACTGAAGCACCTTTTCCGTGCCAAGTCCTTCTCATCCGTTGATATTAAGTACGTGGACTGTCACGACAGTCACAAAACTGCATCCACAAAACTATCACTGAACTCACTTGCTTGTTCTTCTTTCTCCTCCTTCCAGACAGCAAAAATTTGTCAGGATCCTGTGAATATAGCACCTTGAGCAAGAGGAATTAGGAATTTCGTCAACCAAGTTCACTATCATACGTATGAAGGCCAAAGCTTTTGGAATCCCGATCGCAATCTTTTGATGTAGCATTGGACTGGCAGTCAACAAGTTACTCCTAACGAGACAAAGGGTAAAAAGACTAGGCTACTTGGCTGGTTCTGGCTTCGAGGAATCGTTCTCAATACGAATGCTTTCACATTGCTAACGTCTAGAGTAGATATTTGACCTGGAGAAAGTGGAAAAATCACAATGCAACTCAGTAAAAACTTTGCATGCATACCGCCACCATCACTTTCGCCATCGTCATCAGCATCCTCTGGCTCTTTTTTGTCGGCCTCTGGCTCCTCCGCCAGAAAATTTTTCCTCTTACTTGGAGCTGGATCTGCTTTGGCCTTGCTACCAGCCTTTGGCTCATCGGTATGATCAACCTGGCACAGCACGTCAAGAACGAGCCTAACCCTATATCCCTCACCTCTGAGGAAAGGCCCAGCATTTGAAGTTTTTTCTCGGCATTGGATAAGTGAGCATCCTTGGTAGAAAGGAATGAGAAGGAGCAGAGGAGGGCTGAATGTGTTTGAGACAGGAACATTGAATTACCTTCTTGGTACCGATGGCCTTAATCGTGCTACCTCGATCATTCAAGGACATAATCTTCAAGAAAGGTTCAGCGTGTGAAAGAGCAATAGGGCAAGAACCTTTTGCTTATCATAACGCTCGTCGTCGTCATCATCGTCGTCCTCGCTGTCCGTAGATATCATACGAAGTCCGCCAGAGGATTTAACTCCTGCTCCAGACGGGACATCAGAACATTCCTATCGTCTCAGAGGGATCAGACAGCTGCTTGCCTTTGTCTTTGCTGACGATGATGTCATTCTCCTTCCGTGCTTGACGCTTCTGAGCGGCAAGCTCACGTTGTCGCTCCAACTGCATCTCGATCACTTCAAACAAGTCCGGGGCAACAGGCAACGCATGACTGACCTGATCCAACTTGTGCTGCGTTGTCAACGATCGAGAGCGCATGCTCAAAGGCGGCGCTAACGTGCTCTCTGTAGAACAGACAGTATCAGAGAGCCTGACGGGAAAGGAATGAGAGATCGACTCACCGATCTCCTCCGCATCCCTCATGTGTCCAACCGGGAGCCCGACATCGTCCTCATCGTCCTCAAACTACGATGCATCAGTCGAGGCGGCAAGGAGAGGGATGGCGAACCATCTTGTCGTGCAGCAAAACTCAGCTTTCTGCCTCGAATTCAATGGGCTCCCCCACTAAGCAAGGCGCATCCAATCGGTTCAATCTGGAAGCAGGTGTCAGAACTCGTGGCAGTTTGAGATTGAGCCTTGCGAAATGAACCCCATGACACAGCGGATGACATATATTATGATGAAAAGAATGCAATGCTCACATTACAGACACACAAAATCAACAAATCCTCATGACACAGTTCCAGTGTTTTGCTCAAAGTGTACTTGATCGATTTGCAATGTCAAATTCAAACATGCAACTGCATTGAAAATCCACATGAAGTGATCTCCAAGTTTCACCAAGTGAGACATCCTTTTGATATGAAAAGAATAAAGACCATCCCACTACACGATCTCTTGACTTAATTCCATCTTGAAAAACACTTGCCCAGTGGTGCTCATACTACAATGCAAATGTGAACCTGTGCAATGAATTTATCCTCTCTCACAACAAATCAAAACTCGATTGTGCAATCAATGCTCAGTGGAACGAGCAATCAAGATCAAAGCCATAAAGTATCCCTCCGCCATGCAATCAAAATTCCCACTGCGTGCCCGTTTGTTCAAATCTGAGTTTAATGCATCTCCTTCATCCCCTCGACAGCATCCATGTTCTTTCGCAGTTTGCTTGATGTTATCATTTCATAATCCCCCGTTTCTTGTCATCTCTCACTGCATCTTCTACCCCTCCATTGCCCCCGCGCCCGCTCTCTCCCTCCAACGCTGCCATTAGCCATTAGGCCGAAGTACCCCCACCAGCCCCCACCCCATCGTATCCTCCGTACCCGTACAGATTCAAACCTACCCACCAGGTCGTCGATGTGTACCCCTACCACAATAACTCCACCCCTTATTTCCATGACCCACCCCAGACAAATTCTTGTAATTCTTTTACCCTACCCTAACATTTACGCAAATAAATGAGGAAGAAATACCCGTACTTTCTGAATTCATACCCCACCCTATCTCATTCTGTCTACAATGTCCCTACCCCCTATGTCCTCCTTGTCAAACACCCGATCTTCCTCATGACATTTTTATCACCCTTCCTACCCACCCAACTAGGATCCAGCACCCCTTACCATGATTACACCACCCGTACAAAAGTACCCTCCCTTATCCAATACCCCTCTTTCCAGCTGTCCGTCCCGACACCACCCTTCGGAACAGATGTCCTCTACCCCCATCGATCTTCCACCCACCCCAAATTCTTTCTACCCCTTTGTCAAGCGTACCCTCCATCGAAGTACCCCCATAAAAGGCTACTTACCCGTACAGATTGACCACCTGAATTGCTTTCCTACCACCACTACCCCCCAATATACATTCGATAATTGAGCAGCTTACGTCTGGATGCTCCAACCCCAAAAGAGAACCACCCTACCCCACCCTCGCGACCAAAGACCCTCTTCCATCAGCCCACTCGGGAGGGCAGTACCCACCCATCCAATGTGCAGAGGAGGGGTGGTGACTCATTGGCTCAAAATTCAAAACGAGGAAAGTTGGGCGCTTGGGTTCCAACCAAAAGATTCCAACTTGAAATGCTCAAAGATAATTTTGAAGTTTCAGATAAATATTTAAATTCAAACATTTATTGGGGTTTCCTTGATTGCCATATAAAGTACCCTAGGCGGGCCCGAACATGGTCGATATGAAGCAGGAACCGGAGTTCCGGGTGACCAGTGCATGGCGCCAAGATGAACAGCAAGATGAAACGATGCACGTATCCATGAAACTCTTCTGTGCGCTTCCGCAGGAAGCGAAATGGAGTGTGAAGATGTGTGTGAGAGGAGTGCGATCATGATGCAAGCATGGATGTCGAGACGGAGCACGTCTTAGCTGGTTGCCGGCAACGAGGATCGACCGGGTCTAAACAACTGTGAGCTAAGGTGCCTTCTGGACTTTACGACTGCCCATGTCCCGGCCAAGTCCTACGAGCCTGCGCGAGATCTTTGAGACGCATCCTATAGCTCCTACTTCCCTGATACCCTTGAAGCTGACGCTGCCAGGGATGCATGAAGGGATGTATCACCCCTTCCCTCCTCCCGTCCCAGTACCGGAAGCGGCTGATCCGAAAGTGACTTTCGTCCACATGCGTCAGTACCATCGTATCATGAGGCGCAGAAAGTCTCAGCTCAATGGCGGCTTTCATTTCCACATCAACATGAAGCAGCCAAAGAAGGTTTGGAGTTGTTGGTAACCTCGGACATGAAATGATTTTTTGCTCAATGCACAGACTTCGCTTGTCCAGCATGCGAAGTCTCGCCAGAGAAGTTCAGCAGGCACGTTCCAGTCGACCGATCAAAGTGTGCAGGAGAAACAGCCAGCACGACGTCGAGTGGCGAAGAGGGCGACTAAGCAGGATGTGTCCTGTGGTACATGCAGGTGGGAAAAGCAATCCTGGTGTCGAGGAATCTGTTGTTGTGAATCTTCTTTGTAAAGGTACTGCATGGATAGACCGAAGTTTGGAGGATCTGGGCGATTGAAGAAGAAGTGCATTCTTCTGAGGAAGAAGAACCTGGAGAAAGCGACGGTCAAGAACAATTTCTTGAGCGAAATACAGGCAAGGAGGATCAACGATAGTCTCCCTGAGCAGATACGCCAAGATCATCAGAGCGACGACTCCATGGGAAGTGGGAGCTCTGCACACAGCGCGTCTGAGGAGGAGGAAGAGGAAGAGGAAGAGGAAGAGGAGGGGGAGGAGGAGGGACAGTTTTCTTCGAAGGTGAAAGGAGGGTGCATTCTTACGGCGCAAGTAATGATGATTGTGCAGGAAGCGAATGCTGCCGCTCTCGCCCTCTCCACTCTCAGAGAAAATCCACTTCGGAGAGAGGAGGAGGCGAGGAGCCATCCCCTGGGCTCCTTTCTTTCCCTGGCTCCTCCTCCTATCGCCCCCTCCTCGTCCTCAGCCGACGATTCATGTCCCGATCCAGTACGACTTGCTCTGCCTCCTCTGAGGACGGTGTTACCCCCTCCTGCTCTTTGAAAGCATGAGCTTTGCTGGTATGGAAGCAGAAGCCCTCGGCAGATCATTTCTATCTTTTCTCACAAAGTAATTCTTCTGCTGAACTCCAAGTCTTTCGCTGTCATGTCGTCGACCTCCTGTCTCCCATGTTATCTATTCCTCCTTTTCCAGATTTTATATTTTATCTATTCCTCCTTTCCCAGATTTTATATTTTATCCATCCCTCCTTTCCAGAATTTATATTTCATCTATTCCTCTTTTCCAGACTTTATATTTCTCTCAATTCAAAGGAAGCAATAAGTCACTGCTCAGCTACTCACCTCTCAGTCTCACATCTCTCTTCTCCTTCACCCCTCACCCACCAGTCTGTACAATCTCCTTGGCTTGCTTGTCAATCAGAGTCATCACATCCCGCACCTGACCCTCGACAATCACGACAAGAAAACAGTCAAATTTGACATGACCTGCTCGTGTCCGATCTTGAGCAAGAATGCAGAACTCCTCCCATAGCTTTTCATGCCCAAAACGAAGAAACCTGGAGGTCACAGTCTGCTCAGGAACAGGACAGGACAGAAGGAGCAGACGCCAAGGGTTCCCAGCTCCTACCTGGCTCAGGGGAGCAGAGAGTCTCCGGCCCATGCGAGCTCTGCTCTTCAGCGTCACGGCGCGACAAAGTCGAAAGAGCCCACCTGACTGAGACAGTCTCCACCTCCCCCTCCAGCTGAGAGAAGGGCTATCAAACCAAGTCAGTGCGGCCCTCCCTCCCCAGCACAGCCACCAGCTGCCAGCTTCATAGGCCCGGAGGAGGCGTAGCACTGATGTACTTGTAGCTCGTCCCATATGGAGGTGTTGGGCCGGAAACCGCAGTTGGAGATCTGTGAAGGAAAAGGTAAGCGCTCTTGTACCAGAGGATAGACAACATACCACAACATCAACGTCGACCGTCTTTCTCTCGCTCTCCTCCCCCCGCTCGTCCTGCATCAGCCTCATCCTCCCTACTCTCCCTCCTCCTGCTCACCTGGATGGACAAGGAGATGGAAACCTTCTTGCCTGCCCCGAGCTCCTTCTCTTGGAACTCAAGCACATTCGCACATTGCAAGTATGAAACTTTGACTCGGCCTCCCAACACTTGATGATTGCCACGGGAAATTTCATTCCCCTTGCTCTGAGCATTCAGATTGTCAGGGGCTTCCAGGCACGACAAGGGAAGGGAGGAAGTGATAGAACTCACGTACAACAGATCTCGTTGCGGGAGAGGATCATCAGCTACTCGACTGTATGGCTCCCCTCCCCTCCTCACGATCCAAACAACTTCCACATCTTCTCCTGCTGCTTCACACCATCATCCCCCAAGGAAGGCTCCTCCCAACTCACCCTGGTTCGCCATGCTCGACAGCGCGTTGAGCGACGTGATAGCTGACGCCCCTGACCCTATGAGGGCAACCGTCTTGCCAAGGAAGAGCTTCGCATCCCTCTCCTTGTTCGGGATGTGCTGCCGTATCAGCCCGGAGCTAATCATCCTGGTCTCCCCTAGCGCTGGGATGCCGCCGATACCAGCATGGTTGGGCTGGTTCCAGGTTCCGCTGCAGTCGACAAGAAACTGGACATCCTCGATGAATCTCTCCTTGTTCTCTGCGGAGTTGTAGATCAGAGCACGGAAGGTGGCTCCCTTGCGCTGTTAAGGACGAGGGAGAGTTTAGTGACATGATCCTAGGGAACGTCATACACACACCTTGCTGCTGTTTATGTGTTCCCTTTTAAGGAAGGAAGATCTTCCTATCGACAAGACTTCACAGTTGAGATGGATCTGACACTTTCCACTATCCTGCAGGTACCGTTCGAGATGTTCGAGATAGGAAGAGATGTACTGTGAGCCTACAAATGCCGGTGAGTCACACAAGAGGTACATAACACCATGACCACAACAAACTTTGAGGCAATAAGACAGAGCGTCGCTTCTATCACCTGTAGGGAACAGATCCATCTGAGGGAGGGGAATATTTCGCTGTTTCAGAATCTCCCTTCCACACTCTGACATGTTCAAGGACCAAGGACTGAATAATTCGACGTGCTCCCATTCTCTTATATTCGAAGCGATACAAGGTCCCTTCTCCAGTAAGACGACGTCAAACCCTGGGATCAGGAACATCAGCATAACATTCAGCCCTCCTGTTATCCTGTCCGTCTTAACATCGGGGACTCCTCCTCCTCCACCACCACATGATCCATCAGCACCTTATATCCTTGCGCGCCTGCCTCCTCATCTATACGATCGCGACCTCCCCCTCTACCGTCTGTGCAACATCATCCTCTTCATCCTCCTCCTCCTCCTTCTCCCCTGCCTCTGCATCCTCTTACCTTCCCTCGTCGCATGCGCCGCCATCTCAAGGCCGATGGGCCCTGCGCCGACCACCAGTACGTGCATAGCGGATGAAAATCTGTTCTATGATCGCTGTGGATGGAAAAGATAAAGGAAGAAAGACAGCAAGAACAATTACCCAATCATTTAGTACAACAATGGGGCAGCAATCAGTCCTCCCTTCTCAGACCCTCCCTCCCCTCCTTTTCCCCGCCCCCCTCCTTCCTTCCGTCGCCCTCGCCCTCCCTCTCCTTCACTACTCCCCTGTCTTCTTCTTCCTCTGTCTCCTCTCTCCTCTCTCCTCTCCCTCCTCCCTCCTCCTTCCTCCCTCCTCCCTCCTCCCTCCTCCCCCACCCTTCAAACTCTCCACGTTCTCTACCTTCCTCTACCTTCCGTACCTTACTCTACCTCCAACTCCATCTCCAACTAATCTACACCTTGGTTCTTCATCTTCTTTCTCCTTGCTTCTGCGTGCCTCCCCTGTTCCCTGCCTTTCCTTTCCCTTTCGTTCTCCCCTATTTGTTTCATCATCTTCGCCATCTCCGTCGTTCTGACTCCCTCCACTCCTCATCACTCCATCCTGGTTGAGTTGTCATCATACTCTCATTCTCTCCTCACTATCGTTCACCGCTTTCATCCTCCTTCTCATCCCCTTCCTTTACCCTCCGCCTCCAGTCTCGCTCCGCTGTGATATGTGAGGAAGCACGTGGCTGCAATGGAGCATGTGACTGCGATCGACAAGGATCAGGTCAGATCCACCAAAGTCAGCAAGGAACACTTCCCTCATGTACGTCAGCGCTATGACTGGGACTGCGGACTAGTGTGCTGCCAGATGTGCTTGAAGTGGGTCAACCGACCCCAGTCCTTCTCGGCTCTGACTAGGAGGTGCCCGACGAAGAGCACATGGTCCATCGACCTTGCCTTCCTGCTGCATGGGTTCGGGGTGAAGGCTCGATACTACACCATCACGTGGGGAGCAAACCAATCGTACACTGAGATCGAGTATTACAAAGAGAATTTGCAGAGTGATGCCTCTAGGGTGAACGACCTCTTCAACAATGCAGCGGTGGGGTGGTGGTGACCAGGGATGTGATGTGAACTGACTGATGCTGTGGAACTAGGCACGAGGCCTGCATGTTGAGCTGAAGTCACTCGTGATAGACCAGATCATCGAGGCGCTCGTGAAGGATACTTGTGTCATCATGATACTGGTGGATACACTGTTCTTTGAGCAGGCAAGGCTTTCCTTGGCTGCTCGTTTCCTTGGCTGCTGTGCCGATGCTGAGAGATGCTTGGCAGGGCTGTGCCGACGCCTCTGCCATGTTGAAGGGGAAGCAGTCGGAGACAGGGGAGGAGGCAGGGCAGGGCACTGAACGCATGCCCCACTCCTTGCCTTCCGTTGGAATCGACACTGGATTTGTTGGGCATTATGTGGTCAGCTTCTTGATTCTGAAAGAGCAAACATCTTTGAGTTGACACCTTTGACAGATTTTGATCGCATACCATACAGAGAAGCAGATGTTCGAGATCGCAGATCCTGGTAGCAAGTCCCCTCGCTCAGTCACCATCCCTGACCATGTTTTGGATGCGAAGGAGTTGAAGCAGAACGAAGGCTCATTCAGAAAGACGCATTGGAGCATGCGCGGAAACAACATGGTACGCTCGTTGTTCTTGTTCAACAGCAGAAGGTTTTGACAGAGAGCGTCTGAACAGGCACCGATGAAGATCTGTTAGTCATCGACGTTGAAAACCTCATGGTAACGAGCTTGTGAAAACATGACGAGATTCCTGACTTGACAACCCGCAACAGCAAGACTGTAACGAGCTGAACACTTCAGCGCCTGAGGAAAGGGAGGAAATTTTCCTACGTTGCAAGAGAAAAGGTTGGCAGAATCGACATGTTGAAATTTGCACTGAGTGTGGGGGCAGGGTGAAACAATGAATTCTCGAATAAACGCATTTCCTTCTCTACAACTCTCACTCTCACTCTCACTCTCACTCTCACTATCACGCTGGGTCCATCTTCGTCCTTTTTCTCCTTCCCTCCTGTTCTCTCCTTCTCCCTCCTTCTTCCTCCTCCTGCTTCTCTCCTCCTCTCCCAGTCTTCTCCCTCCCCCTCCCCTCCACTCCTCCTCCTCTCCCTCCTCTCTCTCTCTCTCCTCCTCCTCCCTCCCTTTCAGCTGGACTTGGTAGACCACACGGCAACCGTCTTGTCAAGAGAGCCGGAGTAAAGTCCTCCTTGGAACCAGGCGAGCGCCGTGACGTCTGACGTATGATGACTCAGCATGTCAACAACAGCCCACTGCCTGGGGTCCCTGCTGGATATGTCCCAGACCTGTCAACTTAGTGAGATGAAGGGCGCAAGACCTCAGCTCGCCCTCACCTGGATGACATGCGGCTTGTTGAAGGTGGCGCAGAACAGGCTGCCGTCAACGCAAGCCATCGGCGACTTGACTCCGTCCAACACCCTGTAGAGCTTCCTGGTCCTGAGGTCCCAGACCTTGATCGAAGTGGTCCCAGCCCCGACGACCCAGTCGTTCATGCAGTGAACCTTCATGCATGAATCTCCTTCGCAGTCCAACGTGAACAGGTTTTCAAAGTTGCCCACGTTCCAGCACTTGATTGTCATGTCAAGAGAGCCAGTCAAGATTATGTTGTCTCTGACCGCTATGTCCTTTACCCCCAGCGCATGTCCAGACACGTTCTTGACGCAGACTCCTTGCTCTATGTCCCACTCGCATAGCTGCCCGCTGTCGTCAACGCTGAACAGTCGCGCCGCGTCCTCCTCCCCATCCCCGTAGCGATTCCCCGCTATCCCGTTCACCGCAAACGCCTTTCCTCCTCCTAGCAGCGACTTTTGGCAGCTGTAGTCTGCGCTGTCCCAGACCTTGAGGGAATCATCGGGGAAGGATCCGCCGCTGAAGAAGAGGGACGGGAACACGGAGCTGGCATGCAGGCAGTTCACTTCAGCCTTGTGCACTCGGATAGCGTCAACCTCCTCGCAGCTATCGATGTTCCACAGCTTCATCATGCCCGACTCGTCTGCTGTCGCCAGGACGCGACCGGAGGGCAGGCCAGTGATCGCCGTCAGAGGCTTCTTGTGCCCTACCAGCGACTTGAAGAGCTTCGGCACCTGAGCCTGCGCGACGAGAACCTGCGACTTGTCCCTCAGGGCCTGGTTGACGTCGCTCGTGCCTTCCATGATGAGCTCCTGTATGCCCGCGATCTCCATGGCGTTGGCGTAGATGGAGTCTCGGAGCTTCTCGAACATGCAGGAGGTCAGGTGCTCTTCACACGCCATCCTCGTGCCCTTCCATGCGCATCCGATGCGCGAGTGAGGGCACTCGATGAGGTAGTTGGGACAAGCGACCGTGAGGTGAGGGGCCTGGAAGTGATGGGGCAGCGATGTGCCGCAGTACCTGACAGATCAGATCAAGTCAAG